TTAGAAATGTTGCCTATGAACTCTGTTATTTCTCTCTCTCCAGATATAGTAAGTTGCAGCATTCCAAGCCACTTTAACAAGGATACAATACAAGGATGTCCTCCTAATTCTCTTCTCCATCCAAGCCAATAAACCTTGCCAAGAGTAGAATAAGGGAATTCCTATCATAGCACAAATAGCTTGCCATATTTATGTTTCATGCATATTTTTGAAACCTGTGATTGCAACAAACCTTCAAGTTCTTCTCAGTCCAAGTATTCTCTTCAAACAGACTTGCAAAGCCCCAAGGAAGGTGGAGGCTTGAAGGTAGAAAGAACAGCAAAAAGCCTCCAGCCATTCATCACCTTCTTTGCTTTTCTGTAGTTAAGAATGGTTGGAACAGTACTTCCTTTATTTCTTCTTTTTTTAGTCAAAAACTATTTTCATTAAAATTAATTTTTAAAATTTTTTTTTGTTAATTACTAATTAATTTTTTGATAAACTTAATGGCTATAGTTAATATGTAAAGGTTGTTATTGTTACTGTTATAAATATTGTCAAGTTTATGTTTTTATAGATATTGTTTAAAAGACAAAATCATTTCAAATATATAAGATCACATGCCTTTTTAATTCAAATGATAAAAGGACAAAGACACAAAGAGATGTAATTAATCTATGTTATTGTGTGTGATTTTGAGTTTTTAGTATTGATATGTTATTTAGAATTTGACATGCAAAATTAACATGAATATTGCAATTTTAATTTTTAGTATTGAGAACTTAAGTTTTTAACTTTTAATTTTTAGTGTAAAATATTTGTAGTGTTAGTATTTGATATATAGAACTATAATTTTTATATAAATTGTGGAGCAATGTTATGAATCTATGTTTTTTCATAATGTTCTTTAAAAATTATGTGATGATTTGAAATTTGAAACATACATGTTAGAATACTGTGGTGATTTTTTTTGGTTAAATGCTAGATTTGGTCCCTCAACTTTAGTGAGTTGCACATTTTTTGTTCCTTAACAATTTTTTGCACTTTTTTGATCCCTTAACTATACGAAATACACTCCGTTAGTCATTCTGTTAATTTCGATCGTTAACTCGCTCACGTGGCATTTTTTATTATTTTTTTGATGACGTGGCAAAAGCAAATTGAAAACATGTTGACGTGGAATTTTTTT